TATTATATAATATATTTTTTTATACAATTTAATTACCATATATTTAAATTTTTCTTTAAAGAATTGCTAGTATATAACTATATTATTGTCTTACTTATAAATATGGCGGCCGTTATATGCAAGCCCATTTTTTTATTAGTTCAAGACCTCTAACATGAAAATACTAATTTACCCTTAATGAAATTCAAAAGTAAATAAAAAACACAAAATATTAAAAAAATAAAAAATATATTTCCTTTGTGCCAAATAAAATACATAACCCTAGAAATCTCCTTTCATTATTTCACGACTTAAAAATCTCCTCCTTCTTCTTCACAAAGCCACCAAGAAATCCTACACGTCGAAATTATCAAATACACATTTTGAAATGAAAAATCGGTGCTAGAGAAACCCTACACGTCGAAATTATCAAATACACATTTTCAAACACAAATTATCAAAAACAGACATATATCGGTGCTAGAGAACCGATTTTGAAATGAAAAATCGGTTCTAGAAAAACGATTTCTCTTCGCAAAATCGGTTCTCTAGCACCGATATTTTTCTGTTTTTCAAAAATTAGAAAAATAAAAGTTGTAAATCGGTACAGGAAAACAAAATTTTATCAAGAATCTATGTTCGATTGATGTTTTCGTATGTACAAACAAAAGTTTCATAAGAGGGCCTTACTTGTTGGTGGTGGTGGTGATGGTGCGGTGGAGATGGTTTGGTGGTGGTGATGGTGCGGTGGTGGTGCCTTGCTGATCGTCGCCGGCGGTCTGGTGGTGGTCGTGCGGCAGTCTTGGGCGGTGGTCGTGCGGTGGACTTCTGCGGTAGACGTGCGGCGGTCTTCTGCCAAGGTCGTGCGGCTGTTTTGTTTTTACGTATTCTTTTTTTTTTTTTTTTAATTTCTTTTGAGTTTTTTATTTTTTGGTTTTGTACAAATAAAAAAGTAGGGTTAATTTGTATTTAGGTATTATTTAAGGATAAGGGTATATGCGTCCTCTTTGGTCTTGCTATAATAAAATTAAATTAATTTATGGGTTTGAACTAATAAATCTCTTAATATCGGTTTGAACTAATAAAAAAATGGGCTTGCATATAACGGCCGCCTATAAATATATGTTTAGGAGAACATGCGCTACAAATTATCATAAAAAGTTAATCAATGGTAGAAAAAGTATCACCTCAGCTTTAATTTGCATTCAGATTTAACATATATTTAGGAGATTCCACAGTGATTTAAGCTGGGAAATGTCATTAATTTATATTTTAAAAGAATTTGATAATAAAAATAAAGGGTAAATCACAACCACCCGTAGGTACTTCAAATTATGAAAAACCCAGACGTGTTTGGATAATTACATGTTTGGATAATCATATCTACCCCTCAACTATGAATCTTCTTACACATCCATTATATGGTGTTAAATTCAACATAATCTTTCAGATACGGTAGAATGTTCTCTAGCTTATACTCCTTTTGTGTAAAAATACAGTTTCTGATGCACCGCAATCTATTATATACAAGCCAAAAAACACGTCTTATGATTATCTTGCTTCAAATTGTGGAGCTCGGACGAGATAAAAAAGAAATACAAAATTGAGAATATTCCATATAATCTAGAAGATTCCATTAAATTTGACACTGCAAGAGTAGACATGTAATTAAGAAGATTTATAATTGAGAAGATGATTGTAATTACTCAAACAAGATGATGGTTTCGTAATTTCCCTCTATCGGTAAGGGTGGTTATAATTTATCCTAAAAAAAAAAGAGTAAAGAAAAACAAAATATAAGTGAATTAAAGTACAATAATTTGTGCAAAAACATCTGAAACAAAAGTGTGAAGAAGTGGTGAGTGAATATATATATCACATCAGCAAAAGGTTTCTTCTATAAGCAAGAAACCCTTCTTTTGTATATATATATATACACAAGTGGTCCTTACCTCATCACTTCAAACCTCAACCTCATCTTTTACTTTCTTCTCAATTTCAAGATAATAATTATTATTATTTTATTATATATATATATACATATATATATGTATGTATAGTTAGGCGCAACCGTAGTACGTGTGGGTGAAGTATGCAAGAACAAGAACATGAAGGGATGACGAGCATGATGATGGGGTGTGACGGCGGCGGAGGAATAAACAACGCGGATGTGGTTTCCGGCGAGGTGGTGAACCACCAGCTGAAGGCGGAGATCGCCGCACACCCGCTGTTCGAGCAGCTGGTGGCGGCGCACGTGGCGTGCCTTCGGGTGGCGACGCCTATCGATCAGCTGCCGCTTATCGACGCGCAGCTCACTCAGTCCCACCATATCTTGCGCTCTTATGCTCACAGCGCCACTCATCACCACCACTCTCTCTCTCCTCCTCAACGCCAAGACCTTGACAATTTCTTGGTATTTTTGTTTTTTTTAATATTTTTTCTTCAAAAAACAAATCATTAATCCTTTTTTATTTTTTTTCAATAATGGGTTTCTTTCAATTTTTCAATATTTTTTAAGGGTAAATTACGATAACCCATGAACTCAGCGTAAATAACGAAAAACATCCTCACATATTCGTAATTACTATAAAACTCCGTTGAGGTTTGTTTCCGTCTTATACCAAACCCTTACGGTGATACTTTTCACGGATTTTTTTTTTTTAATTACATGGAATAGACTTTAAATTGATTCCACAATTTAAGATATTTTCTATATTTCTCACCTAATTAACATAAGGTATAATAGACTGTACACATTTTATGTTAAAAAATTCGATCAACAGTTAAAGAGGGGAATTTTGATTATTACGGATATATGGGGGTATTGTTTGTTATTTAGCTTAAGTTCAGGGGTTTCGTAATTTACATTTTTTTTAATTGGGGAAGAAATTGAAATTTAATTAATTAGAGTACGGTGTGTGTGTGTGTGTTTTGTACGCAGGCACAATACATGGTAGTTTTGTGTTCATTGAGAGAGCAGTTACAGCAGCATGTAAGAATCCATGCTGTAGAGGCTGTAATGGCCTGCCGTGAAATTGAGCACAACTTACTCTCTCTTACTGGTAACTCTCTCTCTCTCTCTCTTAAAATACCTATATATTTACTATATATATTTTAAGGATAAATAACGAAAAACACCTCCACCTATTTGTAATTACCAAAAACCTCCCCTGAAGTTTGTTTCCAATTTGTATTTGTTCTAGATTGATTAAGTTGTATAGGAAAATTGGCGAGTGATAGAGTTAAGCATGAGTAGAGTGTTAGAAACTTACACAAGATGATGTTATTTGCATAATTAAGTAGAAGTAGAAGTTGGTGATTATGTCGGAAAAGTGATTTCAAAAAGTTAAAAGTTGGTGGTGTTTATAAATCTCATAAGAATTGATTTTATTAGTTAGCTAATTAATTTTAAAAATTGTAATAGTAGGTTTTATTCCCCTCTCTTTTTTTTTCGGAAACAAATTCGTGTTTATTAAGGTTTAAAAAAAAACATCTCAAATCAATTTCAAAATTTATTTGTCCTCTGAACATGATTCAACTGCTCCAACAAAATGATATGACTGCTACAGTAAAACAAATATTTTCATTAAAAAACCAGAAAAACATCACTTCTATTATTCAAATTATTCTTTTAAAATATCTTATTCAACCAACTTTAAAAATGATTTGACTGCTATAATGTAATTTGTCTCGTCTCAAAATATAAACAAACATTACTTCCATTCTCAAATTATTCTCTTTCTTAAAAAAAAATGAAAATAACTTCCAAAACGAATCCAAACATTATTGTAGTGTTTGCAAACAAATTTTCCACTAAGTATAAATTATACTTTTAAACTATATATAATAGATGCTTTTGAAATTACAACTCAAATGAGTTTATTTTTAGTGTAATATTTGGGGAAATTTGTAAGGTAGTGAGACGACCGTACAACAAGAGGTGGGTGGAGTGGGGTCCACTAGCTAGTGAGTAGTTTATATAGTTAGGAGAGTTTTAGTTGCGTTGGGTACTCAACCTGTTTATTTATTTAATTATTTAATTTCCTGCTGCTAATTCTATATATATATGCTTCTGTTATATATATATAATATGGTTGCTTTTGGATCAAGTTGATGTATTCTTTGTAAATAATTACCAAACTTATATTTCAATATTTGAATATATATATATATACCAAGAAAAGCCTTTCTTTACTGGAAAGATATATGAACTCATTGTGCAGTTAGGGGTTAGAACCGAAACTAATCGGAAATTGTGGTTCGGTATTCGTTTTTTTTTTTAATAAAAAATTTCTGTTATTTGATCAGTGTATAGAAAGTTTTACTTTTACTTATGTTTTATGATTATTTTCAATCTGTTACGATATTTTCGAATGTATGTTCTTGTACGTAGTCATCATGATCACGAGTTCTGTTCTTTGACAAAATAGTGGAAGTGGATGAATCAACCAAAATCGTGAAAGTTTGTCGTCTGAATATAAGTTAAATGAGATGTTCGATTACGTACCACACTTAAATAAATAAATAAATAATTAAAAAATTCTTTCGGTCTGCTATCTAGACCGTACGTAGGTGCCACCACTTCTTGAGCCTAAAGATAGATATCAATAGTGTGTGTGACTTAACTTCTCTAACTTTAATCAAGTGTATGATTTCGTTAAGCCACCATAACAAAATAAATAAAAAAGAAAAAAAAAATCTGCGTAAAAGTCGTTTATTACTATCAATTAAAGTTTCATTTTTATTTTTATTTTTTTTGGTACGTAACTCGTATAGGAGCAACATTGGGTGAAGGAAGTGGTGCAACAATATCGGACGATGAAGAAGAGATCCAAATGGATTACTCGATGGATCAATCTTTAGCCGATGGGAATGACCTAATGGGGTTCGGCCCTTTGCTTCCAACCGAATCCGAGAGGTCTTTAATGGACAGAGTTAGGCAAGAACTCAAAATCGAGCTGAAGCAGGTCAAATAATTTTTTTATTTTCTTTATTTGTTTTTATATCCAAATATATAGATAATTAAACGAAGAACATGTCGGTTGATATATATACGTAACTTCTGGTTTAATTTCAAAATCAATGAATATTGTGAAATCTGTTGATTGCATGTATGTTTGAGCCTGCATGCATGCAGATTGTTCGTCTATCGATAAGTAGTTTTCAGGCATGGTTTAAGGTTTTTGTGTTCGCAGGGGTTTAAATCGAGAATCGAGGATGTAAGAGAGGAGATATTACGAAAAAGAAGGGCCGGAAAATTACCAGGCGACACGACTACCGTGCTCAAAAATTGGTGGCAACAACATTCCAAGTGGCCTTATCCAACTGTAAGTCGAATTAAAGCATGAAAAACCAAAACATTTATACCGATTATACCCCTATCACGTAGCTACATGACGGATTGAATAAGTTTTAAGTTACGTAAAATGACCGATGTGATCGATCACAATATAATTAATGCATTTAATACATTAAAATCTCCATCTTCATATCATGATGCATGTCGACTTTGAAGATTCGATATAACTTGTTTTTTTTTAGATTTTTATCAATTTTTAAATTACTAAATAATATGTAAAATTAATTCTTTTTTTTTTGTTTTTGTGCGTAGGAAGACGACAAGGCGAAGCTGGTAGAGCAGACAGGTTTGCAGCTGAAGCAAATAAACAATTGGTTCATAAACCAAAGGAAGCGAAATTGGCACAGCAATTCACAGTCGGCTACTTCTCTCAAGTCGAAGCGCAAGAGATAGATATAATTTCGTTCGTGCTACCGATCGATCGATCGATCAGTGTTTAGTTGACCAATATTGACCAACTGTGAAGCAAATTAATTAATGGGAACTAATGATGATTTAGTTTAATTTGAAGTGTTAGATGTATGTATACATATATATATGTTTTGTAGATTTTGTATCTTCAGACAAGAAAACTTTCTGATTACAGACTTCTTCTTGGAATATATATCAAGTAATATATGTACTTGTGTTGAAAAGATTAATTAATTATAAGAGAAAAGAAGCCACATGTTCTTGTAATAATTTGATAGAAGCTGAAAAGCAGTTCTAATGTCAATATATATATATATATATATATATATATATATTATGTATATGCATCCCAATAGAAAAATTATTTCATTGTTAATATTATAAATGCTTCATTTTGAAAGAGGATGTATAATATTTTCCTTATTTCATTTTCATTTACTATTTAATTTTTCGAATATAAGAAACATTTCTTTTATTCATGAGCTATTTGCACATACGCCCTGTGTAATCTGTAATGGTTAAAAAAGCCCCATGTTAAAAAAAATTAGTAATTACCCCCCTATGTTGCATTTTATTTGGTTCATTGCCCCCTAGCGGAAATAAACATGTTGACTTTAAAGAAATGACTATAATACCCTCATTAAAATACAACATAAAATAAAATTAAAAAACAAAGCATCAATTAAAAAAAATGTTCATCTTCCACGTGCCCCCTCCCCACCACACCAAAAAAATTGTAATAAAAAAAAGTTGTCATCTACAACCCAAACACGATTCTTCCCCGTCCATCTCCGCCACCATCCGCCATGGCCATCTCCGTGTCGTACACCACACTCGCAATGAAGGCACCACAGGCGAAGAAGCAGCAGCCACGGAAGCCTATAAGGCTATAACTGTGGACTACTATTGAGAGACGCCAGAGAAGAAGTCAAAAGAATGTAAAACATAGTTTTTTCCGTGGATTTTTTTTTCTCTGAAAAGCTCTGTTTCAATTGTTTTTTTTGAAATTTTTCGATGAGTGCAGATATTTTCTTGAATTTTCACGGATTTTTGATGGGTTTTGCAGAAGAATAATGAGCTTGAATCTTAGATATTTCCACTGTTTTTTGTTTTTTGTTTTTTCTTGATCTAGATCAGAAGAGAGTTAAGGCTCAAATTTTGGTTTTTATTTTTTTGGTGAGAACTTGGTGCACCGAAATTTAGAGAGAAGAATGAGTTTAAATGTGCTCTGCAATCCAATAATTTGAATCCTCTTTATCCGACGCCGGAGTTTTGCTTTTCGTAGTGGAGGAGCCGCGATCGAAGCCGAAGGGCCGCCTGAGTTTTGCCTTTCCTCTTTATTCGGCCTTGTGCCTGAAAATGATTTTTTTTCTTTTTTATCGTTGCGTATTGTCGATATATTGAGCTTCTTCATATCGGTATTTGTGGTCTACAGGAGAAGATCGGTGCTCGCTCTACAACAAAGTGCCGTACATGTTAGTCCACCGAGTTACAGAAAGGGAAAACAGGCTTGGGGCTGGGCAACCTTTTGCGGGAGTGAAGCAAGAGGCGCTCGACAATGTCGTGGTTGTGGTACTTGTGGAGTTGAAACTGAAGCTTGAGTTGAAGCTTCAACTTCATTCCTTTGGTTTCCTTGCTCAACACTCATACTAGCACCCTTGCTCCCTTCTTGAACCTGTGAAAACTTCCATGTGTGTTCATTTTCACTAAAGTTCAGATCAATATTCAGCATATTCAAAAACCACATCCAACTCTCCTTTGTCTCACTCTCAACTATTGCATATGCAATTGGATAGATGTTATTGTTTGGATCTAATCCAACTGCACTAAGCAACTGACCCCCATGATTATCCTTTAACCAACATCCATCTACCCCAACCACTAGCCTGCAGCCATTCCTAAACCCAATTTTACATGCATTAAAACACATATAAAATCTTTTAAACCTGTTTTCATCATTCAACTGCATTCTCACAGTAGAGCCAGGGTTACTCCTATCTAACTCTTGATAATAATCCCTTATTTTGCTAAACTGTTCCTCTAAAGTCCCCTGAATCAGTTTCAGAGCCTTTTGCTTTGCCCTATAGGCATGTGATCTAGATACATTGGCCTTTAAGGTGGTACATACTTCATTTCTAAATTCACTTCTGCCCAATTTTGGATTTTCTTTCAATTTTTTCACAAAAGTCTTCCAAATCCAGCCTGATTTAATGCTTGTGTTGTTATAATTCCAAGAGCATTTGTTATGATTTGGATTATAGCTCTTAATTTGCCAAGCACCACCCCCCTGCATTTTTCCCACATAGCAGAACCACTCACATCCATCTTTTTTACAAACAGCCCTCAACCTAATCTTGTCAACCTTCTTAAATTTTATCATCATACCTCTCCTAAAGCAATGACTCTCAATGGCAAGCTTAGCCTCACCCCTGCTACTGAAAATTAATCCTAGTTTAAGTTCTGGATTCTTTTTTTCAGTCATAGGATTGAACTTAGGGTATTTAACTCCAACACTTTCTTCATCACTACCACCACCGACAAAGTCATCATCACTAGCAACAAGATTTTCCTCCCCTTCTTCATTATATAGCTTATCAAACATCCCACCACTTATGAATTCACTACCCTCATCTATCTTACCCTTGCCCTTGTCTGAACCACCAAACTCAGCTTCAGGATCAACATAAGCTTCAAATAGCTTATCATCATCCTCCATATCAGACTCATAAAAAATGTCATCATCTTCACTGTCATCACCCTCATCACCCTCATCACTTAACTCTACCCCAGTTTCATCTATCCCAATTTCATCGTTTATGACAGATTCAGTACCCCCTCTGAGTTATTAACCTTTTCAATGAACATCTTAACTTCAAAGTTTGAAGGAATACAGTCAGCTATGCTAAGAACATCAACATCAGTTTCAATTGGCCTAAAACAATTCTCATGTTTTAGCCAAAATTTGAAACTTCCCTTCTCAGTGTACCCTAAAGCATTTGCAAAATCCCACATATCTAATATACCAAATTGGTCAATATCCTAAAAATCAAAGCATTCTACCTGCCCTCCTATATATGTTCTAGTTGGTTCATGCCTCATAATTTCACCATAAAATTTTTTTATGCTAAAACATGTAGGTTCACCCATTTCAACTAAGGTGTTTGAGGAAGCAAAAAAAAAAAAAAACAAAAAAAAAAAAAACAAAAATTAGACAAAACAAAAATCACATTTTCACATAACTTAACAACATAGCTACAAAGTTAAGGATACTTACTGTAGTTTGGAGTCCACTGAAGGCCGGATTCACTCCTTCTTGACATTTTCTTCTCCAGAAATCACCCAAAGCAGCGTAGCTTCTGAGAAGGAAAAAACTCTTCAAATGTGAGAATGTTTGAATTTTGTATGGGTTTATGACTCGATTTTAGTATGGGTTAGAGTAAGAATGCAGATTGGATTGAAAATTTGGGAATGGGTTGAGGTGATTGAAATTGTGAAGTGTGGGAAAATTAGGGTTTATGGGAATGAAACGTGATTTGGGATTTGGGATTTGGGAGAATGAGTTAGAGGAAATTACTATATTCTTGTGCCACGTCAATATTTAATATTCAATATATTATTCCACGTCACATTTAACGGCCATATAGACGTCGCGTGAGCCACGCGTGCAATTTCCGTCGAAGTTAGCTGCCGACGTTAACGGCAGAACATAAAGTGATCAAAAGTGGCAAGTTTGAGGACATATTTCGTGGATTGAAATGTTTGGGGACATAAATCGTTTTAGTGGTAAAGTTTAGGGACATAAACTGTAATTTTCCCACACATTTAAGTATCGATCATTAGTTTTTGTGTAGATATTATTTTAATGACAATTTCACATATGAACAAATTAAATCCAATAGCTATTAAACTTATGTTGTGTTTTTTTAAAACAAATCAAGAAATGAAAAACCAGGATGTTTTCAATGATCACGTATCCACCTACATCTTCACTATAAATTATTCACCCTTCGTCTTCTTTCTCTTCTCACATAACCAGAAAGAAATATTCAAAAAACACTTAATTTGGGGCGCTATAATATTATTATAATAATTAATATATATATATATATATATATATATATATATATATATATATATATATATATATATATATATATATATATATATATATATATATATATATATATATATATATATATATATATATATATATATATATATATATATATATATATATATATATATATATATATATATATATATATATATATATATATATATATAATGGCGAACGCAGTTCCACAGAAAGCTTGCGCCGCATGCAAACACCAACGCAGAAGATGCGATGCAAATTGCGAACTAGCCAAATATTTTCCGGCAGAAAAAGCCGACGATTTTGAAGACGTGTACCATCTTTACGGCATGCCAAACACGTTGAAAATACTTAAATCTATTGAAGAAGAAGAAAGAGATAAAGCGATTGAGAGCCTTATTATGGAGGCGAAGATGAGATTGGAATATCCCGTGCACGGCCACTTTTCGGTCGCGAGAAAGCTTAGTATTGAGATTGACAAGGCAGAGAAATAGCTAGAATTTGTCCGCAGACAAATCCAGCTCTTTAGAGGATCGGATAACCAGGCTGGCCCGTCAACACGCCGTGAAGGGCAGCCCGGTCAACCATGAATGCGTTCAAAAATAAAAATTTATATTAGACCCAGGTTGCTCGGACGAGTATTTATAGTGCGTAGGATGATGATGTATTAATACGTTTTTGTAATGCAAAATCTTCGGTTGGGATATTTACATTAATCGACTTACGTCATGTGTATAATTTAATTGAAGGGTTTTTTCCTTTTTCATTGAATCCGATATGTTAATTATTATTTTATTTTTCGTGGTTGACACGTGTTGTTTTATTCGTGACATATTCGATAATTTCCAATGAAATTCTTTTACAATTAGGTGTGTAGACACATGCATATGTAAATTGTTGAAGAATAGCTGATAATCAAGCCCCCTGAATTTCTTTATGTTATTTTTTATTTAAAGTTTTTATTGCGAATTCGACCCCCTTAAATGATGAAATCATGGTTTCGCCAGTGACTAAGTAAGCTATTTGCGACAAACTCTATTTAAATTGCAATTCAGTTCCCTGACTTGGGAGAAGCTAAGAGGGCTTTTTTGAAACTTCAAGGGACTGAATTGAAAATATTAAAAAAATTATTTGGGGCTTATTTTTAAAATTTATAATTTAAATGGTATTTGGGTCTTTTCACGTCAAAAATCGAACCTCAGTCTCATATTTGGCGAGTGTATCACACGACCAACTCGCAGGGTTCTTACTGGCTTTGAGTATCTTATATAGGGGAGTATGTGATAATTATTTTAACATAAAGGCTTTTTATAGCTATTAGGGATTACACGGGGGACCGAATGTTAAAAACTCTTTAATTCATTGCAAAATGATTAATGATTATTGTAACGCTTTGGTAGTTTTTCTTATGTGATAATTAAAAAGGAAATTAATTACATGATTTTTTAAAACAATGAAAAAGCAAAATGAGTTTTTTAGCAATGTAAGTTTTCTAGTTTGGAGTTTTAGTCCACCACATTTTAAAATTAGAATTTCAATCCTGTAAATTACAAAAGTTGAAAATTTTGGTCCTTTGACCTGCTATAATCGGCAATGTAATGGTTGGTTGAATGAGTTGGCATTACATACACCAAGGGGTGTAACTTTCTCGCCCCATATTTGAAGCCATTCCGTTGCTAGTAGGATCGAAAACAAATAAAAATGTCGAATTTCAAATAATCCGTGTAAAATCATTGAGTGTCAGTGCAACGAGCTAAAACAAGAAATAGAAAGTGACCTAGAACATAAAAGAAATGATATATATATATACTCTTCAACCAAACGAATTACAAGATAGAAGAAGCAATCCGGGAAGCTCAAACACAAAAAAAACTTCGAGAATTACAGCTTCAATTAGTACTGATCAAAATGTCAACGAAGAAGACAAAGATAAACCCTAAAGCCAAATCAGATAAACAGCTCTAACGTCTTCTTTCCTTATTTATACTAGGTTATAAATAGAAAGTGTTAATTCAACTAGAAACGTAATAGCGCTTAACCAGAGAGGGGAGCTGAAAGGCGCTTTCAGCTGAATTCCCCTCTGCCGCGTGTTGCCATCTTATTGGCCGAATTTAAATAGCAATTAACTAAAACAAGCGTGAATGCATACTAATGTCTTTGCGTTTTAAAACATAAAATTGATAATTGGAGTCTTCTTCCTCCCCATGCAGTTTTCTCCTCTTACTCTCCTCTTCTCTTTGCCTAAATTCATGAAGCTCAATTTTGCACGTAACAGTCAGCAAAATTGAAATTAGAGGACCGTCGACTAATTTAGTCGACTTAGACTCCGTTTGGTTGCCAAAATAAGCCATGATTAACTAAATAGTTGGACTTAATTTGATAAAACCTTTTTATATAGACCAAATGACCCCAACTCCTTGAAACTCTAATTCAACTTCAATTTCATGATTTATACTCTTATTTAGCTCAATTTCAGCAATTAACCAATTTGATCCTAATTTTGACCGCCACTGCCTGAGAACTCCATCTCCGACGTTGACTTTTATTTATTATTTTTTTTTTTTGAAAACCTTTATTTTTTTCTCAAAAAAAATTATTTTCATTAATATTACGATTTTGGCGGCCTTCAATATTACTATCTTGGAGACAGTAATTTAACTATATGAGACAGTAATATTACTGTCTGAGACATTAATTTTACTGTATTAATTAATTTTATTGTTTTGGCCTGCAATTTTGCAGTTTTCGACCGTAGTATTACTGTCTCCGACCTGTTTTGGCATTCAATATTACTGTCTCAGACAATAATTTTGTTGTTAACACAGTAATTTACAGAGAAAAAAAAAGTATCAAAAAAAAAAAGTCAAACGCCGGAAAAAAAATCCGAAAAAAATTTATTTTCTGAAAAAAAAAAAAATTTAATTTTTTTTGAAAATGGAGGTTAATGTGATATATTTCACATCCGAGGTCAATGTGCAATATTGATGAAGTTAGAGCATAATTGAATAAATTGATGAAAATTATATTATGATAGGTAGTGTAGACAAAAGACTAATGAATGGTTTATTTGCGACATTGTCATTTAAATCCCTTGTCATGAGTATATTTTCCATTTACCCTTTTAAAATAGGGTAATTGGCACTTTGCACCCTTAAATTACATGCTTTTGGCACTTTGCACCCTTAAATTGAAACAATAGCACTTTGCACCCTCCAATTATAATTTTCTTGGCACTTTGCACCCTAGTCCACCTTTTTGCTTGAAAATTGACCTGCAACCGGTTAACATTTAAGAGGGACTCAATCTCTTTCTTATTTCTCACATCATCTTTTCTCGACTCTCTTCCGCCGCCAAACATCTTTATTCGACCCTTCACTTTTCCTCCTCAACCACCGTGATCAGATGCTCCAATACCCGGAACCATACTCCGTACCTTCTCTCCTCCGACGGCATCGGCGTTGTAGGCATAGGCATTGCTCAGATGCTATTGCACACAAATATCTTTGGTGTAGTCGGCGGTGGGCCCAACCCCAGAGTTCTCCGGCAAAATCGTTCCGCTTCAAAGTAAAGCCCATTGGGCTCAGGGACGAGCGCATCGTGATGATGGTATGCTGAAGATTAACGTGATAACACAAAGGGTGTTCAGTAGATTGGCTTTTCCTCTCTACTAGATGTAGAAAAATCTGCACAACATGATTGAATTTGATATTTTCCAAACATTTCGAGGGACTTGTCCTGCATTTCATTCTCCGTCCTGTATGTTTCTCAGCATGTTAAAATCATCAAAATGAGACAGTATAACATCTATGTATTATTAATCATCAAATACGCCACGTCAGCACTCGTACGAGAAAATACAATATTTTTTTTTGCGACTGCGACAGGGGTTTTCATGAGAAAGGGTGGAAGAGATTACCACTCCAAGATAACCTTGAACATTACAACCTCCTATTGAGTTGGATTACCAGTGTGTGTGTGTGTGTGTGTGTGTGTGTGTTTTGGTTTTTTCTTTTTTACCATTTGCGTTTGCAGTACTATTGATGTTGTCCACCAAAACTGCTTTTGCTACTCTCTTAATTAACGAATTTCTAATATTCATGTGTATCATCAAGAGAAATCGGAAACGATAAATTAATTTGTCCGGTATATCATCAAGAAACCGTACAAGGTCAGTGTCCACTTTAAAAGGTTCTCTTGTGAGAAATAAGAAAGACAAACGGGCTCATCTTTAAATGTTACAAAACCGGTTGCAAGTCGGTTGCAAGTCAATTTCAAGCATAAATGTTTAGTAGGGTGCAAAGTGCCAAGAAAATTGTAATTAGAGGGTGCAAAGTGCTATTGTTTCAATTTAAGGGTGCAGAGTGCCAAAAACATGTAATTCGAGGGTGCAAAGTGCCAATTACCCTTTAAAATAATCTAATTTCCCAAAAAAAGAGAAAAAACGGGGGCAAATGTGTAATTATTCCAAAAACAATGTAGTTTAAAATTCAAAACCAAATATTTACTTTTTCAACCGCGAGAGTAACAACAACACAGTTGAATTGAAAAGTCGCCGGCGAACTTGACTTTCATTTTCCCCAGAAAACCCTCACTTAGTCGCCGGCATACCTTCGCCGCACCTTCCATTTTATTACCCTGTCGTTTTCTGTAGCTATACTCTGATGGCGATTCACGGAATCTTAATTATTTATATTATTTTTAAATTATTATTATTTCCGCCACCAGCCGTTCACATTTTACCCTTTTCAATTTTGATGAATAAGACCACAACAACAAAGTTGCAATCGGTCTTTAATTACGAGCTTATCTATCTGTATCTATTCTATTGGTGACTTTTATTTGATTTGAATATTCCGCATATTGGTTGTCTTAATTATTTAATGAATTTTGCCCATTCTTTCTGTGTGTTATGTAAGTCAACCCCATGCCTTGTTCAATTGTCTTCTGCTTTTTCCCATTGTTTATTCTAAGGCGTAGTTGCATTTCCCTTCATTCTTTGCTGCTGGTAAGAGTTGCAGAATCATTTTCTTAATCAGATTGAATTACTTGCAATGTTTTCTTGATATTTTCTCGGGGTTTGGTTTGGTTTGATTTGATTTGATTTGATTTGATTCTGTGGTTGCTGCAAAGAAATTTGTTTTGTGGATTCTTGATCTGGATGCATTGTGTTTCTTGAAATTATTGAATCTTGTTGATGCCTTCTGTTTGTGCAAGCTATTATAGCTTTCGATTTCATCTGTAAGTCTGTATTATCATTCCGTTTATCCCCTTTTCGAGATTAGGAAGGAAAAAAAGAAAGACAAAAAAAAGAAAAGAAAACGAATCCTCTTTTCGAACATGGCTCACTTGGCATACCAGAATTCGATGACCGGTGGATCACAGCACGGCGTCCAACACGTGCATATCAAAACCTCAACGGGCTCGCTCCGCGTCTCGTTACTGCACGGCAATCTAGACATAACGGTAACCGAAGCTCGAAACCTCCCGAACATGGATTTGTTCCACAAGAACCTGGGCGACATGTTCGGTCGGCTTTCCGGGAAGTTCCTCAGCAAGATGGATGGTAACGAACCGCCCCCCAAGATCACGAGCGACCCGTACGTCACAATCTCGGTATCCGATGCCGTGATCGGTCGAACCTTCGTAATAAGCAACACCGAAAACCCAACGTGGGGCCAGCATTTTTACGTACCGGTCGCTCATTACGCCTCCGAAGTCCATTTTGTGGTCAAAGACAGTGATGTGGTGGGGTCACAAGTCATGGGTGCAGTTGGAATACCCGTCGAACAGCTTCTTTTAGGTTTACCAATTTCGGGTACTTATCCGATTATAGGTGCAAACGGGAAGCAGTGTAATGCAGGGGCTGTTTTGACATTATCGATCCAATATATTCCGATGGATATGGTGCCGCTCTACCATGGCGGAGTTGGGGCGGATCATTCGTACCAAGGGGTGCCGGGCACTTATTTCCCGATAAGGAGAGGCGGGACTGTTAAGCTTTATCAAGATGCGCATGCGCACGACGAGAAGCTGCCGCAGTTGTGGCTGGCCAATGGGAGGATGTATCAGCATGGACATTGTTGGAGGGATATTTTCGATGCGATTTCTCAGGCGAGGAAATTGATATATATTACGGGGTGGTCGGTTTATCATTTAGTGCAGCTTGTGAGGGAGGATCCGAATGTGAAGGGTAGTAGTGTTTTGGGGGAGATTTTGAAAGTTAAGTCTCAAGAAGGTGTTCGGGTTTTGCTTTTAGTATGGGATGATCCTACCTCCACCAGCATTTTGGGGTTTAAAACCGTAAGAAACTATCTCTTGCCGTATGTTTTTTTTTTTTCATTTTTTATTTTATTTTATAGTTTATTCTCGTCTATTTTAATGCATGTTTTACATAAGTGATAACATTTTGTAGTTCTATTCTTCGAGTACACTCGTAAAACTACTTAGCATGTTAGTTCAAACAAGTTGCATTGCAGTTTGGTTAGCCTCTAATTTGTTGGTCGGCATTTTTATGAAATTCAGAACGGTGTAATGGGAACAAGTGATGAAGAAACACGCCGTTATTTCAAGCATTCATCCGTTCAAGTACTGCTTTGCCCACGCACTGCTGGCAAAGGTAGCTGGGTGAAAAAGCAGGTTCGACTTTTCATCAGTTTCGTTTTCTCGTTTTTTTCGTTTTGTAATTGGTAGGGCATGCTGAAATTGGAGTGTATTTACCCTTTTGCCATCAGGAAACGGGAACGATCTACACGCATCATCAGAAAAGTGTGATAGTAGATGCCGATGCATCCAACAATCGGAGAAAGATCGTAGCTTTTGTAGGGGGCCTCGATCTCTGCAAGGGCAGATACGACACCCAAGATCACTCCATCTTTAGCACATTGAAAACTATTCACAAAGACGACTATCACAACGCCAATTATAACGAAAAACAGGGGTCGACCGATGGCTGTCCGAGAGAACCGTGGCACGATCTACACTGCAAAATCGACGGTCCAGCTGCATATGACGTGTTGACCAACTTCGAAGAGCGGTGGAAAAAGGCCTCGAAGCCACATGGAATTCAGAAAATGAAAGTTTCGCACAGTGATTCTGCTTTACTCAGTATCGATCGAATCCCTGATTTAGTGGGATTAGCTGAGGCATGTACCCTACATCAAGCTGATCCCGAAGGTTGGCATGTCCAGGTATGCCAAAAATTAAAAATAAAACTAAATAAATAAAATTATATCTCATATGTCTGATTTGAAGCTAAGTTACTAGATGATGATGATGGTGTAGGTTTTTCGTTCGATTGACTCGAACTCGGTTAAAGGCTTTCCCAAGGATCCAAAAGAAGCTACAAACAGGGTGAAAATATTGAATATCTACTTCTTTTATTTTGATCTTTTATTTTATATTTATTTATCTTTTTGCTGGCATCGAAACAGAATCTTGTATGTGGGAAGAATCTACTGATAGACATGAGTATACATACTGCGTACGTGAAGGCAATTCGTGCGGCGCAACATTTCATTTACATTGAGAACCAGTATTTTCTCGGGTCGTCCTTCAATTGGGCTAATCACAAGGACTTGGGTGAGAAACTCTATTTTCGGAAGAAAAAAAAAATTTGAATTCACAACATGTTATCGAGTAATTTGCAAATGATGACGATGATCATAGTTCGTTTTTTATTTTTTATTATTTATTTTCAGGTGCAAACAATTTGATTCCGATGGAAATAGCTCTGAAGATTGCTAATAAAATCAGAGTGCGGGAGCGGTTTTCTGTATACATTGTCCTTCCAATGTGGCCGGAGGGAGTTCCGACGAGTCTTCCCACTCAAAGAATTCTCTTTTGGCAGGTACCCTTTATTTATTTATTATTTTCTTTTTAAAGATTGGTTCTTTAAATGTTTTTGAGAAATAAAGTATAATGGTTTAGTTTTGGAAGAATTTCGAAATTGATAAGCTCGATCATGTAATCATATTTATTTACATGCATGCGCAGTATAATACAATGCAAATGATGTACGAAACCATCTACAAGGCTTTAGTAGAGATGGGGCTCGACAAAGAATACGAACCGCAGGATTATCTCAATTTCTTTTGCCTCGGTAATCGGGAGACTGGCGGCAGTGGAAAGATCCCCAGTGGAAACACTCCACAAGTACACTCTCTTTACCCCCTGGATTACTTCTCTTTATTGCTTTTAGTACCCTTGTGTTATATCGAACTGCTAGAAAACTCCCCAGGATTATACTTATTAGGTAAAAAAACCCCCCTATGATGCATGTTTTTTAACACACAACCCCGAAATGGAAAATTTATGGGGGGTTTTTGCTAATAAATAACACGGAGATTTTTTAGCATTTATACTAAAGACGAGGGTGTTGAATGCAATGAATTCATTATTTAATATATTCATCTGGTTTGTATCGACCTCTTTTTTTTTTCCTTTTTTTATTTTTTGACATGTTGCACGTTTGTATTGCCAACTAGGCACTGAGTCGAAAAAACCGACGGTTCATGATTTATGTACACTCAAAGGGAATGATAGTGGACGACGAGTTTGTTTTAATGGGGTCCGCTAACATTAACCAACGTTCTCTAGAAGGAACCAGAGATACTGAAATAGCCATGGGTGCTTATCAGCCTCATTACACATGGGCTAACAAACTTGCTAATCCACACGGCCAGGTAATAAAAGATTTGTTCTTTTTCGTTTTAGCAATTTTCATTTTATGTCCTAAACTAATAATTGTTGCTTATCGACTTACTCTTGGAAATTGGTATGGGATTTCTTTTTATTTCCACCGATTTCGATCAAAAAATTCGGTTTTGGAACAATATTTTTTCGTTCTGATTTTCAATCCGACTTTAATTTTCAAAAATAATGCCAAATTTTTTTTTCTCCTAAAATTACACATATATGATTATATATGTTATATTTTAGGTGGCTAAAATTTTTGAATTTTCCGAATTCCGCCGATTCAAATCCAAAAATTTCCGATTTTGGAATAAGTTTTCATTCTAATTTTTGAACTTCCAATTTCGGATTTTTTTCAATTATTCTGATTCAATCCGTCCAAATTCCACCAATAGACTAGAGCAAAGACAAGTAAATATTGAGTTCACAAAAAGACCAAGTAAAATGTTTCTCATAGAAAATGTTTTTTACGAGTCTTATTTTTTTTTTCTTCGTGTAGGTTTACGGGTATAGAATGTCGCTGTGGGCGGAGCACACGGGTACGTTAGAGCACTGCTTTGAGCAACCGGAGAGTTTGGAGTGCACAAGACGTATAAAGTGGATGGGTGAGCATAATTGGAGCCAATTTGCAGCTAACGAGATAACTGATATGAAGGGGCATTTACTAAAATACCCTGTTGATGTTGATCGAACGGGGAAGGTGAAATCTCTACCGGGATGTGAAACATTTCCAGATATGGGTGGCAAGATTATCGGCACTTTTACCGGCATTCAAGAAAATCTCACTATTTGATCAAACTTTAATTATTTCACGAACCCGATTTTTTTTTAATCTTCTTTTTCATTCATTTACCCCCGTTTTTTTTTTTTAAATTTAAACTTGGGGTTTATTCCAACACTACAAGATGATTGATTATAAGGTACTTTGTTTACCATGCCTAGATGACAGTTTGATGATTTTTCATGGTTTTAAATATTTGTTTTTTTTATATAATGAGAAAATTGTCCCGGAATCAATTATTCAGCTCTAGTTGGGAAAATTACATTTTATGTCCCTAAACTATACCACCAAAATAATTTTTGTCCTCAAACTTTTGCATCCATGAAATACATCTTCAAATTTGCCACTTTTTAACAATTTGTGCTCGGCGTTAACTTTGCCAGTCGAGTTAAATGAAATGTCATATGTGGCACACATGATATCGACATCAGCTGTTAAGATTGAAATGTCTCAACGTGGCTTACACCCTACGTCGATTTCGTCGATTGAATATGACGTGGAGTGACACGTCACTCTCTGCCCCTGTTCCAATTATGAAATCCTTAATTTCTCATTACCTTAATTCACTGAACCTCAACCTGACCAAATAAACCCTACCCCCGAATTCCCCGTAGAAATCCTCAAATTGAGGTGAAATTCGGCATCAACAAGATCGCCTAATCCTAATTTCGTAAATAATCGAACATTTGTGGAGCTGAAACATCACAAATCGACCAACAATCTCCAATTTTAGTAAGTTTCTTCAAAGTTCTTATCTTTGAACTTCGGTTTTGGGAATTTGGGATTTATTATGGGTTTATGACTTTGAACTCCGTATGATTTCGAACAACATTGAAGACCTTATTGTAAATTTGAGAGTGTGTTTACGGGATTGAAAGAAATTTTTCAGATTTGATGGCTAGGGTTTCGGGTGTGAAAAGTGAAATGAAAATTGGGGATCTGGGAAATTTTGGAATTGGGTTAAGATCGACAGATTTGTGTACCAGCACAACATTTGACGGCCGCGTCGGCATCACGTGCGCCCCACGTGACAATTTGACTGACTAAGTTAACGGCGGACCACAAATTGTTAAAAAGTGGCAAGTTTGAGGACATATTTCGTAAATGCAAAAGTTTGGGGACAAAAAATATTTTAGTTGTAAAGTTCATGGACATAAAATGTAATATTTCCCGCTCTAGTTCATTTGAATTTTTGTCTATGTTTTCGATTTCCTGCTTTTCGTCTTCATGTTGTTTCTCGTATATGTGAGACAACTAGGAATCAAATAAGTGAAATGTTGTCAACTATATAGGTACACTGGGTAAACTTACACTCTCGTATAATAATTTGCAAATCTTACAATAGACGTAAATCATGTTCGAACTTGAGTCAATTCACATAACTAAGTTAAGAAGACTTTTGTAATGTAATCGTGAGTATTCATAATGTGGTTAAACCAAAGAACCAATTTGTAAAAAATTCAAAAACCGCAAACTAAAGGAGAATTAATAAATAAATAAATACTTTTCTTTTGATCGTATCAAGCTAGCCATGACGTCAAGCTGTATTAATAATTGAAGTAACGTGATCATTTATAATTATATTTATCAAAACTGAATAATAGTTTTCAAAGTCCACCTTCGATTACAAATAATCAAAACCACACAAAAAAAAAAAAAAAAAAAAGTAAATAAATAAATTGTTGGGGTAATAATACCGACAACAAGAATGATGATGCTAAAGTTAGATCACCTTAGATAGTCGAAGTAGGATGAGCTGGAAGAGCAGAGTGGATCACTGGCTCACGAGCTTGATGACCTTGAGATACCTGCGATCATAGAACACGTGAACTAGGCCGGGGGTTGATCCGGCGGAAACTCCTCCGACGCTCAAGTCAGACGTGCGGATAGTAGAAATAATTGAGAGAATATGACTCCTAGTATTGTTTAGATAAGGGGGCAACTATTTCAAATCCCAACTTTTGCTTATTTGAACACTGCCAAGTTGAAAACCATAATTGAGTACATATTTATAAGTTTTTTTCTTACTTTAATACCAAAATAAAAAGAAAAGTACAAAAACACCCTTTCATACAAAATATCAATTATATAAATTTTTCTTTGAAATTACCTATTTGAAAACCAAATTAAAAAAAAGAAAAAAAAAACATTTCATTCAACCGTCCAACCCTCCCTCGCCGCCGAACGCCGCCGCCGCTCCAACCCTCGCCGCCGCCGGACGCCGCCGCCGAACACCGCCGAACGTCGCCCAACGCCGCCGCCGCTGAATCCATTGTTATCAAGCCGCTCTAACCCTCTTCGAATACAAGTAATATTTGTTTCGATTTTTTTTTTCTTTAATATTTATTTAGGATTTGATTGTTTGATATGGGTAATTAGGATTTGGTTGTTTTCGGTAAGAATGATCGTTAATTAGTAATGGGTGCATCTGATTTCAGTCGATTTGAGCATCGATTTGAGATTCGTGGGTCCGTTCTTCGTTAACAATATTCGACCTGTATATGTCGATTTTTTCAAAATTTTCGACAGCTTGATGTCAAAAATTCATCAAAAATCGACATATAGTTGTCGAATGCTTTGAAATTTTTGAATTGATTTTTTGATCATTCGACAGCACACTGTCGAAATTCGGTTGCACATTCGACAGCTAGCTGTGGAATGTTCAACCAAATTTCGACAGTGTTCTGTCGAATTATGTCTGTGTAATTTTTTTTTTTTTTTTTAAATTATTAATTTGTTTTCTTTCCTATTTTTATTTGCTTGTGTTTATATTATGTATATTTATTTTTATTTGTGTGTTATTTTGCAGTGGAAGAACCACGTGAACCTCGTATACCTCCGACTGTCTCGAACCGTAAGAAGAGGAAGGAATTATCCGATAGCGGCAAGGGCAAGGCAATCACGACCAAGAAAAAGACCACGACCAAGAAGAAGTCTGGACAAAGAATCCGGTGCCGGCTCTACCTTCGACTGTAGAAGTTGGTGATTCGAGCAACGAACCGGTCCGAGGTCCCGAGATACCGGAATTGTACACAAATTTTGATAAGCACATTGCTTATCATATTGTGAACGGAGGTCCAGAGCGCTCGGAGCGCGGCTCAGAATTTCGAATTCGAAATCACACAGGAACTTTGAAAGGTTGGTTGCCAGCGCCATTTATTACAGAGGTAGTACAAAGAGCTGGATTAATGTCAGTTGTACAAGTATCGTACAACACTGTGGACGGCCATCTACTTAGAGCCTTCATAGAGAGATGACAGCCAGCTACCAACACATTTCATTTACCTGTTGGAGAGATGACCATCACACTTGATGATGTGAGTACGTTGGTCGGTTTGCCAGTTGTTGGGCGTACCGTGTCTTGCGAGCGTTTGATCCGTGATTCCAAAACGAAGCCCAGTAGTTTGATGTTCGAGTTGCTAGGTGAGTACCCGGACGATGTAGACAAGAAGAAAGCGGTGAAACTGGAATGGTTGAAGACTAAATTTAGCAAGGTGACCACGAGAGATAGTGCTGATAAGAGGACATACGCCATTCGGGCGTATTTGTTATTTTTGCTCGGGTGTACTATACTGTGCAATAAGACAGGCAACATGGTAAGTGTGGAGTATCTAAATCTCGTCTCTGATTTGGATCGGATCGGCGAGTATGCTTGGGGCACTGCATGTCTTTGCCGGTTGTACGATAAGCTTTCGTCAGCCTCACAAAAATCAACGAACTCGATGGCTGGCTGGCTGACGCTCTTTGAATCATGTATTTACGAGCACTTTCCTTATTTGGCGGGTGGCACATTGAAGACGGAATTCGAGGGGCCATTAGCGAGCCGATGGGAGCCTCAGTCAAAGACTACTTCAACGCCTGAACGAGCCTCGTACTTGCGATCTCGATTAGATGATTTGATCCCCGATCAGGTAAAATACCAGTTTAATAATTTCTTATTACTACTTAAGTAGGTTTCTAAATCTAATTTTTTATTTATTTTACTAGGTTTTATGGTCACCGTATACGGCTATTCGTGATGGTTTCCCGATGCCAGATTCTGCTTGGTTTAGTGGGATGATATGTTGCATGGACCACTTCGAGGCATATCATCCGGACAGAGTGTTGAGGTAGTTCAAACGGGTGCAAATAATTCCAGGTCGTGTATACATGTCAAAAGATATGTACAAAGCTCTAGTTAACAAAGGTCGATCAGTCCAGAACTCAATATTCGCTGCGTATGGCGAACGATTCTCTGATCGGTGGGAGGAGTATTGTTTGGACGAAGAGTCGAGGTCCGTTGAAGTTGAACTCGGGGAGGCGGACACTTCGCCGGACTACATGAATTGGTTCCGGCCCAGATGCATGTTACAACTCAGTAGGCATGGAGCCCTGTTGGCCGAAAACCTACACGCAAGTGCACGTATCGTACAAGTAATATAGTGGACTAAAAGTCCGGATATCGAACCCACAGGGAATATTTAATTATCTAATCCTAGACGCTAAATTCTACCAATTATTATCATGCCCACCCTACACAGTCGAATTTTAGAGAGAATTAACTAAATTAAACTAAATTAAAAGCAAGCAAAAACAAGCAAGCAATTTAAAACGAAGATCAATCAAAGTAGACAAGCCTAGGATTTTATTCTCCCCCCTATGTGATTATTACTCCCCCAATTCCTTCAATTATGCAAGTTATTAACCCGGATTATTAACCTGAGATGCTAAAATAATCATAACCCGCTTCCGCGTGTATTACGATTCTAATACTCTAGATTCAATTACTATATTCCTATGCAATTAATTCTAGAACACAACATTAAGCACAAATCTCAATAATGGCTACCTAAGAGATTAACTATATTCCTATGTTAATACCACAAAGGCTCTTCTACCACAGTTCTAATTATTAACCCGATCTTCCGATTTATGCGATTAACAATAACATAAAAGCACATAAGTTGATCAAGTTCATGCACTTAATAAAACAAGTAGAAGAAATAATCCGGAATTAAAACTTGCATAAAATCATAGAAAAGGGTTCATAAATCCCACATAGGGTTCTAAATAAAATCCTAGAAATAAGAAATTTAGCTACTCATGATTAAAGCAAAAACGCAAATAAAATTAATCATAAACGATAAATCTATGCTTAGAGTCTTCGAATTCTTCGTCTTCGTTATTGCTTTGTTGCTCTCCAAATTGCGTAAAAAGATCCCCAATTGTGTGCTTGGCTTGGTCTTATATAGGGTGAAGAACTTGGGGAAGAAGGCAGTTTCCTTGTGCAATTAAAATCCCTTTACTACGCAACTTCGGAGTCTCGGACGGGGGTCCCATAATTTGCACTAAAACTGGGACGGGGGTCCGAGCCTTGTTTCTTCAAAATTTTGATTTTTTCACTTTTGGCCCATATTTTCTCCAAAATTGCAGTTTTGACCCCATACTTTTCCAATTCTTCAATTTGTACCTGAAATACAATAAATCAACTTTTTAAGCACCAATTATCGTTAAAACACACCAAAAGCCCAAATAAAAAGGTACGATAAAGTGTAAAAATATACACTTAACACACTCCCAAACTTGAACTTTTGCTTGTCCTCAAGCAAAATCTACCAATAAGCAAATAACTCAACTATTACATCTCATCACATAGATCAATGATCAACTTCACGTTTTCAGAACTTGTAATTATAATGACAATTCTTAGGCATTCGCAAGCTCAAAATTCAACAACACTTAGTCACTCACCATTACCAAAAACCACAATTCATACAATTGCTTCAAGCATCCAATATTTGCAAATTAAAGATAGAAAGAATTTATACTTACATGCATATGCTTGACTCCAAATACTCACCAAATTATTCTACTCTACTAATATCGAACATTAAGCTATTGGGATCATTGGGGCTTTGTGGCTTTCAATTGTTAGGCTCTTTGGTTCGAGGTAGGAAATATGGGTATATGTGGCTATTATTCTTGAATTGAGGTGATTACGCCAAAATTTGAAAGATAGGCGTTTGAAACAATGAATTCACCTTTAAGGACTTTAATAAACTCGATTCTTAAGAGTTGAAAAGTCTCCACTTTTGCTCTTAAGACAATGGATCGAGCCTTCAAAATAATTCAACAACTAGTCCTTATTTCTCCCTTCTAGTCTCTTTTTTTTTTTTTTTTTTTTTTTTTTTTTTTCGAAGAAGAAGAAGGACCTTATAAAAATTTTCGACCGAACTTCAAGGGTTAATTTTTCAAGAGTCTCCACTTTTCTACCTTATACACATGGCTAAAAGAAAGAACACCTTTTCTCCGAGGCTCAAATCAAGGTTCTAAGGAATATTTCGATAAAAAGGTCGGCTTGAAAGGCTCAAACGGTTCAAAGAAGGCCCAAATCATATCCCAAATCACTCACTACTCAATACTTCGTATCATAAAGTTCCTAAGGTGAGTTCTAAAACCGAACATAGCATGATCTAGCACAAATTAATTCCAAATTTAAAATACAAAACATTCAACTAAAGCAATGCACAAAATGTGATTCCTAACAATAATTTGCTTATAAGTCCCGTTGAATCGAAAGCTAAACAAACATCAAATCCTTATCACACAAAACAAGAAATCTCATCATCAAACATTGATCATCTCTCATCATCATAAATCATCAATGCATTCAACTCAAGCAATTTTTTTTTTTTTTTTTTTTTATATTCCGGAAAAAAAGATAAAAGCAATAAAAACAAATAAAACCTAATGCATGCAAACTAAAACAAATAAGCACAAAAACATGTTTTTCACCCCAAAACTTAAAATTTTCGTTGCCCTCAACGAAATTAGCACAAAGTTTAAGAATAGAAAACACCTGATTTAGTCGGAGTCGATGTGATCGGGGTGCTCCTCCCTAGCTCTCTCACGCTCGTCCTCATTGGGCGGTGGCACTTTTCTTTCCCTTTCCCTTCCCTTTCCCTTCCCTTTGGAAGATGATGCTTCGCTCGTGCGGCCTCGTTTGTTGGATGACATAGTTGGGAGAGAGGTTGGAATAGATTCGGTGAGAATTGGTTGACAATCGAACTCAAAATTTGGTTGGAGCAAATTGTCGAACACCTTTTGGGCGTGCCTTGAAACAGTAGATTTTGGAGAATTTTGTTTGATTCTCTAGCTTCCTTTTGTGTGTGAGAGTTTGAGAGAAGGAAATATGAGGGTTTAGGAAATAATGGGGGAAAAGTCTGAATTTTTTAAAGTTAAAACGCCCCAAAAATAGTCGGACGGCCGTCCCGGGTTTTGTGCTGATTTTCGGACGGCCGTCTGAAAGTTGCTATGCCTTACTGGTTTTGCGACGGCCGTCCCACATTTTAGGCATATTTTGGGACGGCCGTCCCACCTGCTGTGACGCTAGATTTTGCCGTCTGTTTCCCGGACGGCCGTCTGGGATTTTGCCTGCGATTTCGGACGGCCGTCTGGACCTCCTGACTATGTTTTCGACCCTGAAAATTAAAATTCAAATAAACTAATTAGAATGCATGCTTATGATATTAAAAATGAAACGAAAAATTAAATAAAAATACGAAAAAAAATAAAGCTCGGGTTGCCTCCCGAGAAGCGCTAAGTTTAAAGTCTTCAGCCGGACATTGCTTCGTTATTTTCAAGCAAAAGTGACCGAGGTCACTTGGCCTTCTTCACTCGCTTCCCAATACGATTTGAGCCGGCTCCGCTTCACGTTGAACGTACGATTTGAATCTCGCTCCTTTATTTTGACCACCTCATGAGGAAGAATTTCTTGGACAATAAACGGCCACGACCACTTTGATTTGCGCTTCCTTGGAAATAACCAAAGACGGGATTTGCACAATAACACCAATTGTCCTTTGTGCAATTCCTTTTTGGTTTTCTCCTTACGACCACAATAGCTTGACTCATCCTTCTCTCGTGACTTGCTCGAGCCTTTGGGTGGCAACATTTTCCTTGCATTCTCATCGTCATTAAGACCTCGACTCGCATGACTTTCTCTCGGAGGATTTAAAAGTGAGTCCATGAAATAAACTTGCTCCGTCCGATTCCCGTTTCCGCCATCATCTCCTGCACTCAAAGATGCTTTCCCATTGTCCAAGATCGAAACATCAAACTTTTCATTATTTGTAAAATCCATAAGCTCAATAGCAAAACAATCATTATTATCACATGAATTTTTATTAGCCCTAAAAACATTGAATTTGATTGTTTGATCATGCACAGTCATTGTAAGATCACCACTAGCACAATCAATGAGAGTTTTCGACGTGGCTAAAAATGGTCTCCCTACGATAAGAGGTATCTCCCTATCCTCATCTATATCTAGTATCACGAAATCAACAGGGAAGATAAATTTATTGACTTTCACTAGCACATTCTCTAAAATACCTTTTGGGTAAACTAAAGATCTATCGGCTAATTGAAGAGTTATAGCCGTCGGTTCAATTTCTCCTAACCCAAGATTTTTAAAAGTAGAGTACGGCATAAGATTAATACTAGCACCTAAATCAATGAGCGATCTAAAATTTTTACCTCCTATAGTACAAGGAATAGTAAACTTACCTGGATCGCCGAGTTTTTGTGGAAGAGGCCGAGTAAGAATTGCACTAATTTGCTCCGTGAGTTGGATCATCTCGTTCCCTTGCAATTTCTTACTTTTCTTCACGAGGTCCTTGAGGAACTTCGCCCACTTTGGCATCTTTTGAAGTGCTTCAATGAAAGGAATATTTATGCGAATTTCCTTCAACTTGTCCAAAAATCTTTGATATTCGGCGTCGAGCTTCTTCTTTATAAACTTTTGAGGATAAGGAATTGGAGGGACTTGTGAAGGCACCGTCGATGGTGGCTCGTCATAAGATGATTCTTTTTCCTCATTCTTTTTCGGCTTCTCGATTACCGTGTTTCTCTTCTCTTTTTGTGGGGCTTCCTCCAATTTCTTGCCGTTTCTCAAGGTGACTGCTTGGCACGTCTCGACCTCGATCTTTTTCGTTAGCAATCGTTGTGGATATGGGATTGGTTCGACCCATTCGGCTACAGTGACTTGCGGCATGACTTGACTTTCTTCCTTTTTCTCGATCTTGAAATTGATAGCTTGGCACGTCTCGAACTTTTGCTTTCGAGGATCTTCCGTATTCGATGGCAATGCTCCCGCCGGACGTTTCTCTTGATTCACAACGAATTGAGCGAATTGATTCTCCAAATTCCGCAGCGAGGCTTGGGTAGCGGTCATGAATTGGGCCAATATCTCATCCGTATTTGATTTTTGGGCCGGTGGATTGTGGCCTTGATAGCTTTGTTGAGGAGGGGCTTGATTTTGAAACTGACCTTGAGGTCTTTGATACCCTTGGCCTTGTTGATTTCCTCCATATTGCCCTTGTGATCTCCACCCTTGATTTTGGAATTGGCGAGGCGCATTGTTGACGTAGTTGAGCGACTCCACATCTTGTTGGCATTGGAGCGTGTAGTGATTATTCCACCGCAAATTGCACAACATGGAGACTCAACGGCTTGGACTTGTTGTGGTGGATTTGCTTTGATGTGTTGTAGTAGGAGTTGATTTTGTTGAGCAATTTGGGTCACTTGAGCTTGAAGAGCCGTAATTGCATCTAACTCCAACACTCCGGGAACTTTCTTGGCTCCACTAACCGTCCTCTCGCTTGACTTGGCAAACCGATTTTGAGCAATTTGATCTAACATGATAAATGCATCCGGTATCGATTGACTCATAAAATTCCCCCCGGTTGATGCATCTAAGACCGTTCGTGCATTCTCGTTAATACCTTGGTAGAAGATGTGGATTTGCCGCCATTGTTCGACTCCATGTGTTGGACACTGCCGCAAAAGAGTTTTAAATCTCTCCCATGCCTCGTATAATTGCTCGCCTTGCTCTTGGACAAAATTGTGAATTTCTCGTCGGATTCTCTCGTCCTTCTCGGGTGAGCTATAGACTTTCATGAAAAGGTTGAGGAGTTGAGGCCATGACGAGATAGAGTGGGGGGCTTGGGACATCAACCACTGGCGAGCTCTTCCTTGTAGGGAGTGCTTGAAGAGAATTAATTGAAGCGCCTCTTGGGAAACGCCGTTTTGACGGTGGGAATTACAGGTATCTAGAAAATTGACAATGTGAAGATGGGGATCTTCACCTGCCAACCCACTAAATAGCCCGTTATTTTGGAGCATCGACAAAAGGCCTTGCTTGATCTCAAAATTGTGCGCCTCAATGGGTGGATATTGGATGCTCGGGCGGAATCCATCTAGAGTTGGGATTATGTAATCTTGAAGTGCTCGTGGACGAACTGCTGGCTGTGCTGGAAGTTGAGGGGATGGGTCTTGGACTTGGTTTCCGTTGGCCCCGAGTAAATTACCCGCTGCCCTGCGTTCTTCGTCCTCCATTATATTGTTTGCGCGTTGAAGTCTCCTAGCGGCTCGAAAAGTACGTTCGATTTCGGGATCAAACGATTCTCTAGCAAGATCGAGTCTCTTGCGCATACAAAGTACCTAAAACAAAAATAAAGTAAAACGAAAATAAAATGGGTGAATCGTGAAAATCGTTCAAATCTAGAGCTAGAATAAAATAAATAATTAAAATAATCCCCGGCAACGGCGCCAAAAACTTGTTGGCCGAAAACCTACACGCAAGTGCACGTATCGTACAAGTAATATAGTGGACTAAAAGTCCGGATATCGAACCCACAGGGAATATTTAATTATCTAATCCTAGACGCTAAATTCTACCAATTATTATCAAGCCCACCCTACACAGTCGAATTTTAGAGAGAATTAACTAAATTAAACTAAATTAAAAGCAAGCAAAAACAAGCAAGCAATTTAAAACGAAGATCAATCAAAGTAGACAAGCCTAGGATTTTATTCTTCCCCTTATGTGATTATTACTCCCCCAATTCCTTCAATTATGCAAGTTATTAACCCGGATTATTAACCTGAGATGCTAAAATAATCATAACCCGCTTCCGCGTGTATTACGATTCTAATACTCTAGATTCAATTACTATATTCCTATGCAATTAATTCTAGAACACAACATTAAGCACAAATCTCAATAATGGCTACCTAAGAGATTAACTATATTCCTATGTTAATACCACAAAGGCTCTTCTACCACAGTTCTAATTATTAACCCGATCTTCCGATTCATGCGATTAACAATAACATAAAAGCACATAAGTTGATCAAGTTCATGCACTTAATAAAACAAGTAGAAGAAATAATCCGGAATTAAAACTTGCATAAAATCATAGAAAAGGGTTCATAAATCCCACATAGGGTTCCAAATAAAATCCTAGAAATAAGAAATTTAGCTACTCATGATTAAAGCAAAAACGCAAATAAAATTAATCATAAACGATAAATCTATGCTTAGAGTCTTCGAATTCTTCGTCTTCGTTATTGCTTTGTTGCTCTCCAAATTGCGTAAAAAGATCCCCAATTGTGTGCTTGGCTTGGTCTTATATAGGGTGAAAAACTTGGCGAAGAAGGCAGTTTCCTTGTGCAATTAAAATCCCTTTACTGCGCAACTTCGGAGTCTCGGACGGGGGTCCCATAATTTGCACTAAAACAGGGACGGGGTTCCGAGCCTTGTTTCTTCAGAATTTTGATTTTTTCACTTTTGGCCCATATTTTCTCCAAAATTGCAGTTTTGACCCCATACTTTTCCAATTCTTCAATTTGTACCTGAAATACAATAAATCAACTTTTTAAGCACCAATTATCGTTAAAACACACCAAAAGCCCAAATAAAAAGGTACGATAAAGTGTAAAAATATACACTTAACAAGCCCATCCACCTCGACCCTAGGCGGATCGACCTCGACCACGTGAAGCTCGTCCAGGGGGTGGTACCGATAAGGAGGTCCAACTTTCACAAATTTTGGAGTTGGTGAAGGGTACACTTAGCGAGGTGCGGGGACTTGCGCCATCCGACGCTCATACGGTCATGTGGGGGACTCTAAATGATATTGTCAAATTGATCGAACCGGATGCCCCACTTCCACCTCCATCGAGCTCGTCGGATGCCCCACCACCACCTCCAGCTAGCTCGATAGAGCCACTTCCACCGCCATCGAGCTCGTCCGATGCCCCACAAGCAGTTATGAAACGCGTGTTTAGTAGGAAGAAAAAAACACAGGATTAGTCTTGTGTGTTTTAGGCCATTTAGTTGATGGATGTTGTTTGATGGATTTTATTTGATTTACTTTTTTTTTTCTTAATTTAGTTTTATATGGATTTTGATTGTTTTAAATGAAATTATTTTTGATAATTTGAAAATTTAATTTTTTTTGTCCAAAAACACTTAGAATATGTTTTTTATGTTACATTGCAATATATTTGGGGTTGATTTCAGAAAAAAAAAAAGAAAAATTGCAATTTATCAAAAAAAAAAAAAAAATTGAACGGACTCGTTTCGACAGAAACAAACTGAAAAAAAAAACATAACACTTAATAACATTGAAACTAACACCAGTAACTTTACTTAATTTTGTTCGGAAAACAAACACCATTGTCTGATATAATAATAATTTCCAAACTCTCTCGCTGGCAACATTTTGACCTATTAGTTCTCGGAATGCTGTAATCCGACCATCCATTTCTGCAGGCTTCCAACCATCAGCTGTAGGATCATGGCATCGTTACCAATAATGGGCGATTGGAGGTATTGGACAATTGTTGTTCAAGACAACATGCACGAAGTGACAGTTGTCGACGAATGCCATTCCGTGCTCTTGTCTCTCTCTGAAAAGCATTGGATCGCTCGATAGAGGAAGGAACGTGAGACACTGATACTTGGATAAGTAGACAAGCACAATATTGTATGTTGAAGCAATTACATGACCCATATTTGGAAAAAACATCCAATGGTCACGAGTGGCAGGAACATCCCAGTTACTCACAATAGTTTGCATGCTTCTAACAGTTTCTTCGCCACGTTGCATGACCGTGTAAGTGGAAAAATTAGAAGTCAACTCCCGTAGCATGTCATCTCGTACTCGACCCCATTCATCTTCTCCAAATCCCATCATAGAGGCAACTGCCCGAAATCCACAGTGTCCATCTGAACCGACATTGATGATTTCTCGAACATGCATACGAAATCGTGGATGGATCGTGTCAATGTACTTATTCTTGCTGATCAAACCTGGTGGCAATCCCACATCTGCATCTTCAAATAATAGTTTGAACGACTCTTGCGTCTGTATAGTGCTTTTTCCTGACTCTTGAGTTGGTATAGTGTTAATAGAATCATTCGAGTGCCCTCGTAATCTCATCAGTACAGGTATAAGCTGCAGTATATTACACAAAATTACTTAGCACAATTATAAACTACAACAACTACAATGAAATGACACGAAAGTAGCGACATTTACCTTTGGAGAACAACTAGCTTGCTTCGATTTTTTTTTCTTTGGCTCCACATACTCAAAATGTGATTTGTCACGAGTGCTTGATTTGTCTTTCCTATTTTTTCCCGGTCGACCTTTGCTAACAACTTTTTCACTTGGCTCCGTAAGGTTAGTCTTCTCTGGGTGGGTAAAATGTCTCAAATGGTTGCGCAATTGAGTTTTTGCATCGAGATCGGCACATTCAAAGAGCTTCTGGTATTCCGATAATTCTTCGTCGATGGTTGGTAGGATGACTTTGTCTGTGGTCGCGACGGGCTCCATGCTCATGTGTTTCCAATACGAGCCTATTAACTCAAGTGGGATAGGACATTTGTTCACAACAACATACTCATGAAGTTCATGGCAACATGGTAGACCGTGAGTTGTTCGGATGGCGCAACTACAACCCATATCGCTCGGTTGCAATAGTTTCGCATTGTCCACCTCAACTTTGAGTAGTTGCAGAGCGTATTTTGAGATACTTCCACGAAGCTCATTGTATATCAACGTTTTGAAAGTGTGTTCGTAAGTATTTTTACTTACTTCAAAATAAGCTTTGATGTCATTGTGTTGTTCGACAATTTGGTTGTGGACTTTCGTATACAAATCCACAAATGTGCTAGTTGAATTATGCACATCCCTTTTCATTTGTCCGTGTGCCCCCTCCACCCTATTAGAAGTGTACGTTCCAAAATGAGTACACTTATTTGTCCACACCGATACAAGTCTCACCTTGTACGGATCCAACCACGAATTAGCTACATATGCTATAGCCGGAGGATAACCGATAAATGTTCTTTTCATTGACTCCCAATCCTCATTGAACTCCTCTATGGTATTTCTTTCAATAAGAGCCGAAAAAACCGACTGAAATTGCTTCCATTTGGTGATGTCCTTTGTGAACAATTTCTTACAATTGGCCACTATATTCTTGTTCACATGCCACCGACGCAGCAAGTGATGACTCGATGGATACACATTGGCCACTGCTTTCATTAAACCCAAATCTCGATCTGTTACAATGCAATTAGGCCGAGGACAACTGGTCATGGCCTCCTTCAAACAACGCAACGCCCATTCGAAATTTTCTGTGTTTTCGTGATCCAAGTATGCAAAGGTAATGGAGAACGTCATGTTGGTACAAGTAAAACCCACAATCTCAAGAAATGGGAGTCCGTAACGATTGGTCTTGTACGTGCAATCGATGACGAATACGTACGGATACGACTGTGCCAACTTAATGCATTTCGGGTGGATCCACAACAAATCAGTAATCGCATTCAACTAGTTCGATCTATGGTACGAGAGGTATTCATCTTCTTTCAACTTGACGAACAATGATTGCAATTGAGATCTCCCTGACAAATCACTGAAATTTAACTTAGAGATAGTATTTTAAATTGTCTTCATACCAGTTAGATTAGACGGGTCCTTTTCCTTCAATGATCTTAGAATTGCCCTTGGTTTCACCATTGCTTTCTTCATAGTGTGAACAAAGGAAGTCTGCTCCTTTGATAATCTTCCAGCATAAGAGTGTCCGTGCAAGTTTTCAAACAAGTTGTGGTTGTGAATACCACTATAAACATCCAATTTCCATTCAGCCTTTTCATCATCCTTGTGTTCTTTTGTCCCCTTCAATTTAAACGGACAATTGCATTTATTTGAACCGGTGCTCCTTTTTCCCGGTCTTTGATCATCTTTACCTGGTACCTTCTTGCCAACATAATGGCCCCCACGCTCACAACGAAAAATCACATACGGTGTCCTACGTCCTCTATCCCTGTCACTCGAACCCGCAATCATTAACACCATTTCAATTCTTTTACATACTTCACGAACCCATGCCAATAAAGCTTCTTTTGTTGGGAATTTTTCTGACGTGGTAAATGAATGGGTGCAATCGATCTACACAAAAGTGTCGAAAATATAAGACAAGTAAATTTGCAACAGCACAAAATCGACACCTATGTGTCGAAAATGACCCATATTTTCGACACCTAAGTGTCGAAAATGGTAGCCAAATTCGACACGTAAGTGTCGAAAATGAATAAAATATCAACTGTTATGTTTTTCGACACATACATGTCGAAGAATAAGCATATTTTCGACCTGTATGTGTCGAAAATTGATGGCGAATTTAAAAAAAAAAAAAAAAATCAAAATCGATGTTTTAGCTCAAAAAATACATGAATACATACCTTAATGGGTTCTCCTTGCTCGTAAACTACCATTCTATTGTCATTTGACGTCATTTTGCAAGTTGTGTAAGGTTTTGATTTCTTTTGTTTTGAAGTTTTTTAGGAGGGTTTTTGGGGAGGGAGAAGAAGGAGGTGGAGGAGGTGAGGGGTTTGTGAGTGAGGAGGGAAATGGTTTTTTTAGGGTTTTTGATTATTTGGTATTTAAGAAAGAAAAATAGTATTTGTAATATTTTTTTGGTTTTAATTTTCATTAAGGGTATTAAAGTAATTTACAATTAATTATTTATTTTTTATTTTTTTGGTATTCAAGTAAGCAAAAGTTGGGATTTGAAATAGTGATCCCCTTTAGATAATAGGGCCCCCCTTTAACAAATGAATTATATCGTTATTTATACCTTAGATGAGATCGTTGGCCTGGCTCAAACCTTATTTGAAGGTGATTGGGCCTTGGTGATATTGGTCTTCAATATTGGGCTCCTAGCCCAGTAGGTAAATAAATTGTAAGTCCATTGGGTTGGCCCAATTAGACATATCAAAGAATTAATTTGTTCTCACGAAATGGAATTTGCTCACGTTATCACCACTCTCTTAGTAAATGGTCCCTCCAATATTTTCAAATAATTGTATATTGACCCCAAATGTCATTAAATATAATGCGTTGCTCACCTACCCTTCATCTTCAATAAATAACTACCCTTCATCTTCGACAAATAAATGGATTTTTGTACACAAGTCCCTCACCAACCATTTTTATTATTCTAGGTTTAGGGGTAATATCTCTTTCGCCAATAAGTCCATCCTTTTAATATTTATTATAAATAAAGAAAAAAATAATGTATATGACAAAAATACCCCCAACCCTTTACACCCAATTCTTAATTGTAACATTAATTTAATCAATTCTGACCACAAAAATTCAATTTTGATTTTTTTTCAAAAAATATTTTTTTGCCGCCGGTCTCCGGCGTTGACTTCTCGAATTTTTTTTCTGGTCTGTTTTTCCGCCGCCGGTTTCCGGCGTTGACAGTCGGTCTCCGGCATTGACTTTTCGATTTTTTTCTCATCAATTTTTTATCTGTTTTTTTATGTCCGCCGCTAAACGTTGACCATAATTGTACTGCCATTAACATTAATTCTACTGTTACTGACAGTACATTAACGTAATTATACTGTCGTTGACAGTACATTTATGTAATTGTACAATCGTTGACAGAACAATTAGAGTCAACGACATTATTATTTTTCTTAGGGTTTATATATATATATATATATATATAATATTTATATATAATTTTGTTTGATTTGTTGACGAGTCAACGTATTATATTACAGTCGTTGACAGTAAAATAACTGTAAACACAATAATATTACTGTTAACCATGTCAATATTATTATTTTTTTGGGTTTTTTGTTTTATTTGAGTTGTTGACGGAGTAAGGTAATAATATTAGTGTCTACTATTATAATATTACTGTAAACACAATAATATTACTGTGGTTGACGGTAATATTATTGTTGTTACCCGCAAACTCCCTTAATGCGATGGATGGATCAAGAGCTTGGATAGACTTCACCTACGAGCGTTTGCCGAATTTTTGCTTTCTTTGCGGGATATAGGGCATGGTGAGAACAAATGCCCGGTGCGATATAAAGACAATTTTGTAGACCCTGGTGACCACCTATTGTATGGTACTTGGATGAAGGCACAATCGAATAGGGACACAAAGGGTATACAGGTTTCATTGCAGCCTTTGTTGCCGAGGAATTTTCTGCAAGAAAGTGAACTCTCTAGACCCATTCTGCGGGGGAAGAATATTTTCAATTACTCGCCACTACCAGTGGAAACGGCGGGGCAGGAAAATCTTCCACAATTCCATGCAACAACTAGATTTGAGGCGTATGACCTTGCTCTGGTCAACAACCCAATTCAATTCCATACAGGAGGAGAAGAGGTCCAAAGTGTGTGGCGCAAGCTTTCCAGTTCCGGTAAGGGCCCCAAGAACAAGGCCTCCGATTCTAATCTCCCGGATTGAAACAAGGGCAGAAAAAAACCTCATTTGTACCTACGTGACGAGGATATGAGTTCAACGGCAGAAACTGCGGAGCAGTCCCGCCGATCGCAATGAGCTGCATTTTTTGGAATTGTCAAGGGTTTTGGGTACCCTTGACAATTCACACCATCGGAGATATTCTCCGACGTTACCACACCTTGTTGGTGTTTCTTTCGGAGACGAAAGCAACTTCAACTCTAGAGGACTCTTTGAAGAAAAAAATGGAACTTAAATGGTTTAGCAGGAGACAAAATTGGAATGTCGGGTGGCTTAGCTCTATTATGGCAAACAGAGGTTCAAGTCCAACTCATTAGTTTTTTCGCAAATCAAATCGATGTAGAAATTGACGGTTCCCAATCTATCAATCAGCAAGTGGAGATTTACCGGCATGTACGGGTTTCCATAGCGAGATCAACGAAACAAAACGTGGGCGTTGCTACGCAATCTGAAGTTACAACGCACCTTGCCTTGGATTGTGGGGGGAGATTATAATGATATTTTGTGCAATACAGAGAAAGTTGGGGGGCGTGACATAATCCAGGGCAACTTGCAACTTTCCATAACGCACTGAACGAGTGTAATCTTTCAGATCTTGGCTTCCATGGCTCTGTGTTTACCTGGTCCAATAACCGGAATACTCATAACACGGTTCGTAGTCGTCTAGACAGGGTTGTTGTTCCCGATACATAAACCGGGTAGTGATTTAGTAAAATGATCAAATAAATTAGTCGAAATACGAAAAGATTAACCGAGGCGAGAAAACTCTTTCCTTAAGACAATATTGCCCCGCTACGGTGCTTACGGTTATTTGGCAATGGTCTCCCAAGATACAACGGCTAACTCGGCATATGAGCACTCAAAATCCCGAGTACAACGAACGTTACTTTTTGTCTCAAACTCTCGAATCGAATACAGAAGAAAATATTCTACGAAGAATATTTTCGGGCTAAAGAAAGAAGAATTCCCTAGAACAAAATTATGGAATTGAATTGATTTTTATGTTGTTTTTTTTAAATCAAACATGTGGAGTTTCTATTTATAAGTTTCCAATGGTTGTGATTAATGAACACAACCCTTAGGAAATTAAACAGGTGAAGAGGTGTGGCCACACCTCTTCATATTGTCACACCTATTTGATCAAATAGGTGCCTAAATTTTTTTTTTTTAATTTTCATTTAAAAAATAATTTTATTTTAATAAATAAAATTTACAACAAGGGTTTGTGCAAATGATGGATGGATGTCTCACTTTACGAGAGCTCGTGCATCATCTTCAACTGCCAGGGTCGGATCATATTCCGTTAATGTTAGTTCTTAAGCCGCCAGAGGAAAATGACGTGGTCACAGGTCGATGCCCATTCCGCTTCGAAGCTATGTGGGTCCGAAATGAATTTGCAGAGTTGGTTAAAGATGACTGGTCGAAAGATAGGGATTGTGACCCTGTAGATGAGCTTCTTAACAAAACAGACGGCTCCAGATTGGCTATTATGCGATCTCAACCACCCTCGTAAACGATTAGGGAAAATCCACAAAGAGCTACATCGGTTGAAGTCTGGGGTCCAAACTGAGGAAAATAGAGATTAAAGCCGACAATTGCACAAAGACTTAGAACATTTGCACGATGATGAGAAAATTTACAGGGAACAAAGAAGTACGGTCCAATGGATCAGCGAAGGCGATAGGAACACAAAATTCTTCCTCACCGAAGCTTATCACAGGAAGAGGGTGAACACAGTTAATAAGATTTGCTATAAAATGGGGGTTTGGAAGGAGAACAAAAAGGACATTGAACAAGTTATCTCTGGCTACTTCGAGGAAATCTTCCATTCTACTTACCGAGAGCAAAGTGTAATGGGTGAGGTGATTGATCATATTGTTCCTAGAGT